TTGACAATGTGACATTTAATTTACAAATGTTGACCTTCATCGTTTCGTAGGTAGTACGAAAACGAGAACTAGCAGAACACCCACCACCCTTTTGCGGTTGGTTCTAAAAATTCTGATACTGTCATCAGTTTTTATAGACACCTTAACGATTTAGAATACAATATATAAAATACAAAAAACATCTGACATTAATTGAAACATAGCACTCAGCGGAGTTTTCAATTTCGTTGCTCTCTCTCTCTCCCTCTCTCTCTGATAATAGTAATTTTAAAAAACAGCACCACTTTTAAACAAGAACACATCGAGCCGACAACAGACCATAACTTGATTACATTATTCATTCAGATAGTAGTTCGTTATACATATGTTTTGATATAGACATAATATACTTAATACATATAGAATATATTAAAAAAGGATCTAAACACAAATTGCGACTGATACACCTTTTGTTATCTTTCGGTTGTACCCGTCAGTCATAAAAAATGATGGCATTTTTATCTATAATACATCTCCAACTAAGACGAAAGCTGAAAGGTACTTATCTGTGAACAGCAAGTATATTATATGTATATATATTACATTTATACTAATATATTTTTTTGTTATGTACAGAGTTCGTATTTGCTTACCCATGAGCAGCTCTTTTCGGCTCATCTTGGTCACGGCTCATGAGCCAGCAAAAAGCGTACGATGGATCACGCTCACGAGCGAGCCCAACTGCAGAGCTCACGCTTATGTTCAAGAGCCGCCGTTAAGCGATAAATGGACTCACGCTCGTGAGCAAGTTGCGGTTCATGAGACCTCATGCGCCCGATTTAAGTTTTCATATTTTTTTTTTTGTGAAAACAGGTCATTAAAAAAGATAACCTTGAACTAACTAAAATATGGAAATAATCAAAATTCTTAAAATAAACAATAAATATATTTTCTTATATTATTTGTATTGTTTAATTGTGGAAAATTACTTACTTACCAAATTTTTCCCGTAAGAAATATTAACTACGATCCTTTAATGACCTTCTCATTTTAACTACTGTTGTTAAGGATTTTTTTATTTTATTTTCTTATTTAATTTAAGAAATATGAATTTTTTATTTAGTCTTTGTTCGGAATTGTGTTTCGGAAAATTTAAAAATGAGTGCTTTAAAATATAAATAAAATAAATAATTACAATATGAAAAACAATTAAGTAGAACAAATTTCTAATGTTAAGCGGCATTATAAGCTCGTCCATAAGAAAGATATAGGTGAAAAACCAAGTGAAAGTGAAGAGGAAAATTGTGAACCAGCTAACAAAAAATATAAAAATCCTGAATTTGTAAAACTTGATATTGATAAACATACTTTTTTTGAAGTGTTGTGTGGGATTGCATCTCGTAGCGACTTTTGAAAGGTTAAGAAAATAGGAAGATTTACGGAAAGTAAGAAATGAACCAGATTCTCCAAATGTCTCATCTGATATGATTTTTGAGCTTCCTACTACTCTGCAGCACCTTATTCAAAACTGCAGCAGCGCATGACGGCAAATATAACATCTATTTTAAGCTATTGGAAAACGTCAAACAATTATAAGGAGATTAAAAAAGTTGCACCAGTTGCATTAGCTGTTCCAGCTACTCAAATATCGGTGGAAAGAGCATTTAGCGCACTTTCTCTAGTTTTATCTAAATTAAGATCTAGATTAAGTAATAGTACAATAGACAACTTATTATTACCCAAATCAAATTTTCTAGAGCTTAACTCAAAAAATATGAGCTTAAATATTTTTGATAATAATAATTTATAAATTTGTTTTTCAAATTCAAATAATTGTTTCATTATATTGTTTTAATTGAAATAATAATAAGTTTATTTGAAATTATATATTTTCACAAAGCAAGTAACGTATATAAAAATAAATGAAGCAAATAAACTAATAAATCGCTTTTTATTGAACAGTTGAGCTCGTGAGTTCTCGGTTCGTGAGACCTCATGAGTAGCTCTTCAATATGAGCAAGTGGAAGACTCACGCTGATGAGCAGCTCTTCAATATCAGCCAATTTTGGGTTTAATTAATAATTGGTTCTTGCTCATGAGCCTGCGCTGCTTTATCAGCTTTTTCGATCAAAATTTAAAACAAAAACAAAGTTTTAAAAACCAAATGCAAATAATTGTTTGACATATGACTCAAAATTTATTCACAATAGACAAATACTTTTGACAACCCTGCATTGTACCCTGCAGGCTTAAATTGCTTAAACCAAAGAATACCGTTGTATTTGTGGGTTAAACGGTTTTAAAGAAGTTTGGTTAAACCAGCAGGGTTGTTGTGTCATACGTTATTGTTAAAATTAGTGGTTGTCTTTTTGTAATCTGCTTACAAATGATTATACCGTATAGTATGCATTTTACCTATGTTATCTTATATTACTGTCTTTTTTGTATGCTTTATACTACAAATATATATTTTTGGATAAAGTTTCCATTCTATTTGTTAATGTTACTATAGCAATTATTTGCTATCAATTTACAATATTATATGCATTTGATTATTTTTTTTGTATGTATGTAAGTAAGCAAAGGATTTCCTAATCATGCTCTAACAGGGACAGATAAGGCAATATCCCTCGCATTTATTTATTCAGTTACTTAAAGTAACGTTATTTTCACAAGAGCGGTATGTCTTAAATTCATTCAACAATGCTCCAAACAAATATGAATATTATGATTTTTATGAAAGAGACAGACACCCTTTATAGGGTATTTTTATAAAGAATATTATATGAATTTTTACATTATTATAAATTTTCATGAAAAAGTGCCTGTAATTATAGAATATATTTTTGGGATATTAACAGGTATGCACTCATTTGGTGCTCCACATCAACCTAGAAGGATGGAGTCAGTGTACAATCTACTGTCGTAGTTATAAACGTCATTTATTTTGAAAAATTAAATGAATGCTGTTATATGGTTGATAATAAATTTACGACCATGTATACAGAACATTATTAAGATTTCTCTATGACTACTTCCTTCTGTAATATCTTAAAAGAGATTATTTGGGATTGCAATAACCCTTTTTTTGGACTTAATGTTTGCGGTTAATACATCGAAAGTTATGATAACCTCACCAACCTATCTTGCAATATGTTATATTATTATGCATATACAGTGACTCCATCGCATAATCGGACAAGCATTTGTTCGATATAAATGTGCTCTAAACTTTAAAAAAAATCCTAAAAATATGATTTTTTTTGCTTTAATTAATACTTAACATACTTATCTATCTGAATTATAAAAAAAATTAAAACATTTCTCATAATAACTATTAATTTAAAATAAAAAACAGAACCAACACAATTTTTTGGGCTCAACGTATAATCGGACAAAATTAAGCAACCATGTTAAAAATGCAGAAATGTGGCATTTAATATTTTGTTGAATATCCTTTGTTATTCAGAATGGCCTGAAGACGATTTGAAACTGATTTTACCAATTTTTGGCACACTTCTGGCTCAATTAAGTACCATGCTTCGAGTAAAGCCTGCTTTAGCTGTACTATTGTGTTAATTTTTTTTTGGTACACTCTCTCAGCTAATTCCTCCCAAAGATGCTCAATTATATTAAGGTCTGGGCTCTGTACAGGTGTGTCTATGAGTTTGGATCAACCAATGCTTTGCTACGCCTGACGTATGCGAGGGATCGTTGTCCTGATAAAAATTAAAATTTTCTGCGATACTCGATTTCTCTGCACTTCGCTGTACATTCTGTTTCATAATGTCGAGGAATCCAAATTTTTCCATTTTACTATCTATAAAATTACCTACTCCCGCACTTGACATACAACCCCAAACCATAACAGAACCTCCTCCATGTTTTATAGTGGTTTTTGTATTGTGATGATTGAATTCTGCATTTGGTTTACGCCATACAAACATCTTACCATCAGATCTATTCAGATGAAATTTACTTTCATCAGTGAACAAAACCTTAAAAAAATGAAAATTATCAATGAAAATGTATTTAAGATGATTTACCATCAATTTACTTGATTCCAAAAGCCTTCTGTTTTTAGTAAATATTCCTTAGCATATTTTATTCTTTTGTTTTTATTTTTAATACTTATAAGCGGCTTCTTTTTGGCAATTCTTCCGTGATAATCGAATTTATGTAATGTTTTGCGAATAGTATTTAAGCATATATCTTTCCCAGGGCGGGGTTTTAATGATAATTTAAGGTCTTTTGCGGTTTTGAAAGGATTTTTCCTTATTTCTTTCAATATCGAACGCTCTTCTCTTTCATTTAATATAGTGCTTTAAGCTGCTCTGATCCTATTGGCCAGCCTAAACTCATCATGGGACCTCTTAATAATATCTTGAATAGTAGAATGACTTATTCCAACTAAATTGACAATTTCTCTAATGGTTTTACCTTCGAAATTCAATTTAATTATTAATTGCCTAATTTCGACAGTAGATTGCTTTCTATTTGGTGCTATTTTAATACTAATTTATGTTACAATTATATAATTTATAATTTATATTTATCTTAATGTAAAAAACATTGTTCTGACAATTATTATTATAGTTTTGAAGTGCATATTTGTAAAATAACAGTATTTTTAGCATGAATGCTTAATTTTGTCCGATTATACGTTAAGCCCAAAAAATTGTGTTGGTTCTGTTTTTTATTTTAAATTAATAGTTATTATGAGAAATGTTTTAATTTTTTTTATAATTCAGATAGATAAGTATGTTAAGTATTAATTAAAGCAAAAAAAATCATATTTTTAGGATTTTTTTTAAAGTTTAGAGCACATTTATATCGAACAAATGCTTGTCCGATTATGCGATGGAGTCACTGTATATCAAATTGATCATATATAAAATAATTTAACAATTAATTATATTAATATTATATAAATATATTTCAATTCATTAATATTAGCTTTTATTTACACACATATAATATCTTAAAATAATAAATATTAACCATAAACTTTTTTCTTCTAGTTTTCTTTCTTGGTGGAAAACACATAAAAAACGTTTGCTGCAACACGCAAGAAAACCGGTGGTCAATTTTTCGAGTGTGCAGAGAAATATTTTTGGAGTCTTCGGTGTTTTTGGAACAGGCACCAAAAATTAAAGTATTTTCAAGAGAAGAGAGAACTTAACTTTTAGGTTTTCTCTTTATTTTTCTTTTTTTCTCTTAAATTTCGGTTCGTTGAGTTTCGACTCCAAAAAATTTTGAAAAGAGCGTGCATATCAAAAGGATTTTTATTTAAACTTTAAGTTTTTGACGAATCAGCAAAAGAATAAAAATTTTTAATTAAAATACTAATAAAAAAATTGCGACCCCACAAACTTTCTCTGGAATAAGTTAATCGAAAAATTGTGACTTATTTTCCTTCCCACAAAATTCAAAATTTGGCAAGAAACTTCAATTTATATTCGCTAAATACTGAAATCCAATTAATTTTGTTAAAAACTAAAACTTGTAAGCAGGGATCTAAAACGGTTTTTAAAATCACAGAAAAACTCACTGATAAAACCTGAAACTATTTTTGAAATTTATTCATTTTTTGTGATAACCAAAAACAAAATAATAAAAAAAAACAACAAAAACAAAAATCAATATCATAAGTTTATGCAAAAAACAAAAAAAGAAATAATATTTCAAAATTGTACTTAATTTTTTTAAAATTTTATTTTGCTGAATTGCAAATCATAAACTTAATTTTATTTATATTGATTTAGGTTGAAATCGTATTGACATTTAAATTTAAATTTAACCAAAACAAAACTATCTTAACAAAAACAATTATATATTTTTTTACGAGAAGAAATTACTTAATTGAGCTAAATTTTATATTTTAAAGTCATTACAAGTAATTTATATATATTGTAATATACGCAAATCCAGGGCTCACTATACTTTTGTATTTTGTAGGCGTGTACATTTTTAACTTCAAGACGAGAAGTTTTATTTATACATATATATATATTAATTAAGGTAACTACTTACGACTAGGCTTTTAAAATTTACATATAAAATTTATTTCTATAAAGTGAAGCAAATTTATTTAACGCTGAAGTTAATATTGTTATATTTTTAATTATTTGTCAAGTCTAACTCAAACTAATTTAAAGACAAAGACAACAAAAAACAACAAAAACGCTACAAATATTTATTAGTAAACACTAAAAATATAAAAAAAGAAAACTCTCGCTTCTGCTTCAAAGCCAAACAAATCAAAACAAACTTTTTGAACTTTATACGACAGCAAGATGCGTCAAAAGGATTTACGCCCAGCACCCGCTCTAATTGAGTTCAAGGGAATGAAGTTCCTAATCACTGATCGGCCATCAGATGTCACCATACATCATTACATATTGGTAAGTGCAGTAACTCAAAGTATTAATTATAAAATTTAAAGATATAATGATATAATTCACTGATTCGCAATTAAGGAATTGAAGAAGAACAATGTAAACACTGTTGTACGTGTATGCGAACCCAGTTACAACACCGAGGAGCTTGAAACACAAGGTATCATAGTCAAGGACTTGGCATTTGAGGACGGCACTTTTCCTCCGCAGCAAGTCGTAGACGAGTGGTTTGAGATTTTGAAACAAAAGTAAGTCAACACACAATAAAAGTAATATTATCTTAAAATTTTCTTTAAAACACATGTCTACTTTAAGGAACTTTTAGATTTTATCAAATTTCTTAAAAACTTTTTTTGGCTTCAGTTTCGTTAAGTAATATTAAAATAAAAAATAATATATGCAAAAAAGTTCACTGATATATGAAAAAGATAAAGACGGACTATTTAATGTCTGTACTTGAATCATAGCATTAGAAATTATATTCATCAGATCTATAAGCCATTATTACCCAATATCTACAGAAATGTAGTTAATTGTTGTTAACTACTTATAATTAGTATTTTCGTGCTGTGCATCTCTTTACTTCTCTCTCTATCTCTTTCTCCATCTCTCTCTCCATCTCTATCTCTCTCTTTAATAATCACAGTTTTAAATCTAAATTTCTTTTTTCCTAAAATTATTTTAACAAAATAATTAAATGTAAAACTATGGATTTCTAGTAGAAGCATCAATAATGTGATATACATATCTAAGCACACGTAAGGTTGTCTTGTTGTGCATCTCTTTACTTCTCTCTCTATCTCTTTCTCCATCTCTCTCTCCATCTCTCTCTCTCTCTTTAATAATCACAGTTTTAAATCTAAATTTCTTTTTTCCTAAAATTATTTTAACAAAATAATTAAATGTAAAACTATGGATTTCTAGTAGAAGCATCAATAATGTAATATACATATCTAAGCACACGTAAGGCTGTCTTGTTGTGCATCTCTTTACTTCTCTCTCTATCTCTTTCTCCATCTCTCTCTCCATCTCTCTCTCTCTCTTTAATAATCACAGTTTTAAATTTAAATTTCTTTTTTCCTAAAATTATTTTAACAAAATAATTAAATGTAAAACTATGGATTTCTAGTAGAAGCATCAATAATGTAATATACATATCTAAGCACACGTAAGGTTGTCTTGTTGTTGACTTTTATCTCATTCTACCGATTCTATGAGAAGGATACGAACGATGCTTGAGCAATTCAAGTATCGATTTGAAGTCAATACTTCATACATAACTTTACATTATATGGTTAACATTTACAAGCTTCCAGAATATTTTTCATTTAAATTTTCTAACTCTTTACATTGTGCTCCCACGATATCCAAGATCTGCTGAATGATATTTTACGCTTTTTGAGACGAAAAAATGAAGTGAGGTTACAAAAACTTGCAGCAGGTGTCGGAAGATAAGATGTATACTGTCATTATTGAGGAATTGATATTGAATGAAGTTGGAAAGTAATGATTGTAGAGGAATAAGGCATTTGAAAATTGAATTGAGTCTACCTACATAATGTCTACATACAAATGTTGCCATTTCAATGAAGGTTCGCGTTTGTTTGATGCTTACGAAATATTGTTTTCGAAAGAACTGATTCATCAAACATATTTATCATTTCTGTATGAACTTCCATTGCTTTTAAGTATTGTTCAATTACTGAACTTTGCTCAATATTTTTGATTTTGGTTTGTAAAGAACTATTGGCGAAGAGATCGCGATCTGCGAACATATTAAACAAGATGGTTTAACACAAAATTCTCAATAGATTTAATCATTTAGTTACACTTTTTCTAATTTCATATTGAATTCTTTTGATTATAGTTGACTCACTCACTTTATTAATTTATTACCTCAACTCACAATTTACTTCTTCGATCTATGACTATATTTATATATCTTATATATGTTAGATATGAGTGATCAAAGAGATTTGTTATATGTGCTTAATTAATGTAAAATTATATATAAATGCCTAGAAATAATTTCATTTAAATTTGAAAATATGGTACATCAGTGAACTTTTTTTTGAATTCAATAAAAATTTACTTTTATTTTGTTGCTTACCTTCAAGTGGGTTTTTCGAAATTCAAAATTTATCATCATAACATTTGTAAATTAAAAAAAAATTGTTCTTTTAGAATGTGAAATAATTTCTTATGGATTAATTTTATTAAGATTTTGAGTATGTAACACTTATATTAATAGCAAAAGAAACAATTAATTACTACACAGTCGTATGTATAGTTAACAACTTATAGAACGTAGTAATTAAAATAATAACTAACATAGACGATGATATTGTGTTGCGCGCTATAAACAATATTTACTTACGTACTTATTAAAACCAGCGAATAATAAGCACTAATTTCACAAGATGATTTCTTAGATGATTTCTTAGATGCTTTCTTAACTTAAATTATATAGAGTCAACAATAGAGTTGACGATTATAACTCGCATATCATTAGCAATACTATTTATGTATCCAAAGATATTATTCTAATTGAATAGATTATTGAGTTATTCAGTTATAACATAAACATTCTTTGTATAAAAATTGTAATAGTTTGGTTTATACTAATAAGAAAATACCGTCGTAGTAGTATATATAATCTTATATTTTGACTTAATCTTTACTTAAAATGATATTTTAAAATTACTGCCTACTATTTTAGTACATAAATATCTCTTTTCCTTCTTCAAACTTATTTGGAATATTGATAGTTGTAGTAATTGTCCTATTAATCTATCATAAGCTCTGTAAATTCTTTTAAAAAATATTATCCTAACGTTTTATAAATAATTCTCATTAAAAACCACGAAGGAAAGATTTACTTTAACATTCCCAAAAAAAAAGAAAAATTATTATAATTCAACACTTTGTCATTACTAAAAAAAATTTATTTCCCAAAGGACTTGCAGGTCTTATAACTGCAGTAACAATTAATATTAATTCTTCCGACCATTTAATTCATCTGTTATGCTTTTTATACATTGTATTATGATATATATATATATAGGATACCAAGGTCGTTACCAAGTTATCGGTATCTTATTGTAGATGTTGTGTTATTAGATTTTTAAGATGCACAAATTTTAAGCAATATATAGTTTCTTTTATAAATTTTATTTCAAATGCATCTTAACCCCTTTACACTTAATATTATCACTAAATTAAAAAAAAAACTTAATTTTCTTAACTGTCCTTTACTTTTGCCCAAATAGGTTTTCAAATTTCATTGCAGACAAACCAAGATACGTGTTATTAAAAAATTAATGTTAGATAATATTTATGTTTATACAACAAGCATATAAATTTGAATATTTTAATTTTAGTACGAAAGGTTTAAGCAATAACCGAATGGAGCTAAAACCTTTCTTCAATCAAAGTTTAGTAATGGCAGTTGGACTGTTTTTCAATTTTTTAATATCTGAATATCTGAACATCTGAATATCTGAAATATTCAATAAATTGTATACTGCCTTTATTTTTCTCTTATTAATATTAATATCAGAGTTATACTTACTTACAATATTAACTGTCAATTTAGCAAGAATTCGTTCATTTCAATCGTATCTATTTTTATTCATTTTTTATAGACCGAAACGGTTACACCATTATTAGTTATTATTATTCTATCAATATTCTACTATTATTATTCTTTTTATATAGAGAGAAAGAAAATATGTTAGTGACCATATATGTTATGAATTGGATTAAGTCCTAACAGGCATATTTTTAGGTGTGCGTAGAAGGCGACACTTTTGAGGCAGAAAACCATAGTAGTCAGGTAGGAACATTCTTAAACTAGTATCACAATCTACCGCAATGATTGATCTAGATTGGAGAAAAAGCTCTTTCAAAAATATAAACATTTCCATAATGGCAAAGCAACAACGCAATTTCAAATTCGACAAAAGTAAATGACCCGTTCGTTTAAAAGAAAAATTAATTGAAGTTTGTTTTTATTTTTACACATTAAATGAAATCTGCCTTTATATTGTATTTCAAATCGTAGTAAAATTAGCGTTTACTTTTTTTTTTTAAATAATAATAGTAGGATAGCCATTATTACAACAGAATTTTCCTTATACCCAAAAGTAAATCACTTGTTCTGAGAAGAAATAAATAATGATTGTATAATTCTTATACTTTTTATATCTTTACTTCATTATTTACCTCTGTTGTATTCGCAAACCACCTGAAATATTAAATTAACATATATATAATAATACATAATCGATATGGGTTGTTAATTAAACGTTGATTACTAAATTACATTAAACGTTAATCACATAAAATTATATTTCTTAACATAAATATGCTTCTTTCCTAAAAACTCTTCCCTACTTTTTCCCTTTTTATTACTTACAACACTCAACACTACTATTAGACTTAGACCCACTAATGCTTTTTTTTATAACAAACTTTCAACGTTGCATTTTTGTAATTTTTTTTTAAATAAAAAATTATTTTCTGACTTTTTATTAAATATAATTAATTTAAAATCTATAATCGTTTTTTGTTCGTTTTTATTTCGTTCTTATTTAATACTATATATGCTTAATTTTTATGTGCAAATTCTCTTTTACTCGAATTTTAAATATTAACACAATTTCTTTATTTCTCACCACGTATTTTTTCCCATTAATTTTTATTGTTAATTTTTTGCTGTTCCTTGTAATTGATTTTGTAACAACATATAAATGTATTAAGTTTTAGAAACTCCAATGATCCCACAGTAGCCTTTATCAAAAACAAGCGATTCTCGCTTAAACATAAACCCAAAACAGCTACTACAACAACCACTGCATCAACTGCAATTACAGCCACTTCCAACACCACAACAAGAACCACAATAAATAATAATATTAATAATAATAAATGTGGTACAACAATTTCTTCAATAACAACAGCAACAACAAATGCTAACTCAAATATTGATGATAATGATAATTCCACTTGTAGGTAAGGCTTACGACATACGTATCAGAGCTAAACTAAACGTACTTAATTGTAAATAATTATATACAATATATAATATTTCTCAGCGTTTTGATCTCATATTAGATATGAGGTACTATAACTTGAAAAAAATCTTGGATTTTGATAAATATACATCTTCATCAATATAATATATATATATCAATATATTATAATATATTAATATATATTATATAATATATATATTAATATATGTTATTTTAAAATATATTATAATATAATTATAATATAATATAATATTATAATGTAATATATATATGTATTTTGCTTTGTTTCGAGCATTGTCAGCGCCTGCTGACTTGGCTCGAATAACATGTTACTCTATTATTTTAAAAAGTATCTTCCCCTCCTTCTTCAGTATTATAGTGATTGGGTAAGGAAATTTTAGTGAGATGCACTTGAGATATTAAAACTATTTTTTTTAATACATACTGTATTGTATTGTATTGTATTGTATTATATAAATATTGTATTTTCAACTATATTAAAATTTGTCCAGAATTAAAAATGAAATGAATTATGTAGTGTTTTTATTTAGTGATGTTTTCTATATTGTCACTCCAACTATTGCTCACTTTTTTCGATTTTATAAACATACAGACCACGTTCATTATATGTAAATATGGGTTGAATAATATTTAGTCGATTAAAATTAAACTTTTAACATATGCTGGCGATTGCACTGTTTTAGCCACGCGTCAGGACTCTTAACATAGTCTTAGAAAATCAAAGCCTATATTTTGCTTGCTTCTGGACTAAATATATCTCTATGACTCCGTCTGTTATAGGAGAATATAGAAACTCAACACTTACCACACCAAAAATTCAAAATTCTGGGTGTACTAATTCAATCCACTTCACTTATCTTATTGGTTTGTGCACACAGTTTTCGCAGGCTATTGGGGCAAAAATAAAAAATATAAATACTAGCATAGCATTTGTTTGAATACAAACAAATAAATAGAATATCCTATTAAGCTCAGGATGAATCCCACAGTTCTGCGAAACGCACCAGTTTAAAATCACCATATCCGATATTTTATGGCGTAACATCTAGAAATGTTGCCTGTATTATGTGGGACTACAATACTAAGTCCATGGCTTGCGTTATGAAAACACTGAATAGGACCGTGCATATCTTCTTATCGAATTTAATTAAAAACTATACAGAAGAACAAAAATAGACAAGTTTTTCCAAACAAATTTGAAATATAATGTATAATTTAAAATTCTTGAACTCCCCGTAACTTGTCGTTGTTCGGCGGATGATGAAAATGATTTTATTCAGTCCATTTTTTTTACTGTATAGATCGGTTTGAGCTACAAACTAATCGTAAAACGGTGCTGAAAGTTGACCTGGATTCCATGAATACTGTGACTAATTGAACTATTCTCGATACTTTTAGGCTGTAAGATATATTTGAAAATCAATATAAAGAAACTAGGGAAAATGAAAAAAATTGCAATTGCATGTTTTTGAACAGTAAAATATTATATGTACTGCCTAAGGTTTGTCTCGAAAAATGTGCAATAACATAAATAATAAATTATAACTGGACTAGGAGGAGATAATTTTTATACAATTTTTTTTTTTTTTGGTAATTATATTATCTCATATCTAAGACTTAACGTATTTTCACAATAAAACAATAACAAAATTAGTAAACTTTTTATTGTCACCACTGAATGATAAAGATTATAATATAAATATAAAACTAGAATATAAAATTGCTTTATATTTCGATTTTTTTCATTTTACTTATAAAAATACATAAAACGACAAATGCTCTAACATTATACAGTGTTTGAATATTTAATAGCGATTCACTGACCCAAATATTCGAACACAAGTATAGTCAAATATTCTCAAAGCTTCAGATAGTTCGAATAGTATTTGCGAGGTTCCCTCTGGTTAGATGAGTTTCAAATTGAATCTCAGCTTAATCAGATTTTTTTCTATCTTTTTTGTCTTTGTTTGTTTTTCATTTCATCTACTATTTAACTTATTTTAAGAATTTGCCATACTGGTATTAAAGCCTTATTGAAATTGCGCCTTACTACTTTACTCTCTGGTTTTATATTTAATTTAAAATTTTGTTCAGAAAAGTTCCCATAATATAATGAATCCGAATTCAATTCAAATACTATTTGAAGCGACCAATTGGGTAATGCTATAATTTTGTTTTTATAATCATTTTGTAATTTTAGCATTAGATTTGAAAACTGAATAGAGTCAGCTAGGCGATTCATCTAATATGAGAGTTCTAGGAACGGCGAGGACCATGTGGCGAAGCTCGAAGCCAGTCACGTATGCAGACGAACAAGTGCCGCTCATTACACCAAGCCAACAATACCAACAGCTGCCTTCGAATGCTGTATATAACCGCATTACAGTCTTTTCGTGTTAAATGCTTTTCAAGCATAATTTTTTATAAAGTTTAAATGAAATGCAAATAAATTTTTGACTATGCCGTGTCAAGTAGTTGTTCCTCACAATGATGCAATTTTACTTAAAGACATAGTTAAGTACACACATCCATCTGAGCTCTTTGTATTTATGGCTACTTTCCATTGTGGTGCTAGTTTTCTAGATTCAGGCAGTGTTCAATTTTTAACTCTTCTACTGTCTCTACATACTCCCTTCATATTCCATTTATATATGTTGCCTCATGCTTTCCAAAAGAATCATATGCGTTACTGCAACAACAACCTCTTAGGAGTTAAAATTCAGCTTTTTTAACTAACCTACATAGGATTCTCGATTGAAATACAGCATATAATATGTAGGGTACCCAAATAGTGTAGTTATGAAAGAATTTATTTGTTGATTTTTTATATTACATATGAAACGGTACCACTATATTCAGTTATTTTCTTCTCTTTCTTCCTAAAAATATAATCTCAATCAATCGTATATCTCAATCAGAAACTATAAATCTTAAAGTTGTTGTTTCTCAGTGTATGTATGCTATACATTTTTGTCCAGTCACATCTATACATTTGTAAATGTCCCTGTAAAGGCCCTTTTTTATTTACTATTCAATACGTTAAGTCTTTGATATGAACGGAATTTCCCCAACCCCTCAACATATTTACATTAGAATAAAATAAAATTGTTTATTTAAAGAAATAAATTATACAGTAATAATTGTTGTCATATTCTTTCTCAGATATCAACAAAACCCAGAAGCTTGTGTAGCCGTGCACTGCGTCGCTGGTCTTGGTCGTGCACCAGTTTTGGTGGCATTGGCTTTAATCGAATTAGGACTTAAATATGAAGCTGCAGTGGAAATGATAAGGGAGTATGTTTGGTATATATTCAATTTAATAACATTTACTAATATATTCTTCCCTTATCTTTCGCCTTTAGTAAACGTCGTGGTGCTATAAATGCTAAGCAGTTGTCTTACTTGGAGCGATATAAGCCAAAAGCAAGGCTAAAGCACAAAAATGGCCACAAAAATTCATGTTGCGTGCAATAGATTTCCAAAACCATAATAATTCCCACCAGATGAAAAGTGTTCATTTTAAAGAAAAAAAGTAAAAAAAAAACAAAAACACAACAAAAAAATACAAAAAGAAAACAAAGAAAATAAAGAAAGAAGCAAGAAGTCGAGAAATATGCTTAAAGCAAAATGTAATTAATTCACCTTTATTCCCAAATCCCCTTATTTATTCCAATTTCAAAATTAAGAAACTATTAACTTCAAACAGAATTGTAAATCCTAGCTAAAGTAAAATATTGTAAAATTATATATAAACAACAATTTCAAAAACACAACAAAACAAATTATTGTATTTAACGACAAATTTATTGTTTTTTAACAAGTATATGAAATCCATTTTAAATCATTTTAAGAAAAAAGTGAAAAATGATTAAAAAGTTTTATTTAATTTTTATATATATTTAATAAAAGAAAAAAAACAAAAACAAAAATGAAGAGCAAAACAAAGAAAAAAAAACAGAATTATATATATACACATATATAAATATATATATATATATAAATATATCTAAATGTATATACAGTACGCGCTCAGTTATGTGAACTAATTCAGATAGTGCAAGTTCACATAATCGAAATGTTCACTAAATTGAATTTATTTTTTTTTTTAAGTTTTTTCTCTAATTTTATTAATAAAAAATACTTTATATGAATATAATCTTTAATATGTAACTATAAAATACAAAAATGATAACGTTAAAAATATAACAGTAGTTCTTATAACTTTTCAGAAGCGCTAACATTTTACTTTTAACTATAATTTTTTTGAAAAATAATCTGTCACTTGCATTTGTACTTTACTTCGAGCACGTATTTTATGCACCAGTTTCTCCCGACAATTCTTCACTACTATTAAATATTTGTTATAACGATCTTGATTCTACTCAAGCGATTGTTTTATTGAATGAGGTTAAAGCTTCTGTTGAGCCAATAATTGGCGTGTTTCGTTCTTCACTAGCACTTTCGTCTTCGTCTTCATCTTCATCTTCATCTTCATCTTCATCTTCATCATCATCATCATCATCATCATCATCATCATCATCATCATCATCATCATCATCATCATCATCATCATCATCATCATTATCAGCTTCATCCTTCTCAATGTCTAGTTCAACACACTCCACATCTCATATTTTCCATATTTTCATCCATATCTCATATTTTCCTTAGACGTATATGGGCAGTCTATGTGCAGCCTAATTCAGCTAATAAGGTGTAAACTTCTTCTATGGGTGATGCTATATCAGCTATTGGCAGGTATTGTTGTCGTTATGTACTCAATGGAATGTCGTTTTCAATATTAAACTTTTGTTCAAAATTTAGTAAAGCCTTCCAAAATTTTTGGATAGTTTCAGCTTTAATTTTACTCCAAGTTAATGTTAGATTTGTGGTAGCATCTTTAAGCGTTAACTTGCGCAGCAATTCGGTAGACTTTTCATTTTCTGAAGAAATAAATGAAGCCATTAATGATGATCAATATTCTTCTAACTTGGCTAAACGAAAGACATTTTGGTCCATTGATTGAATTAAGGAAGTTACATTTGGTTGCATGAGCGACAAACAGCATTGTCTAACAGTAGTATTGCTTTCGTCGGTAAACCTTTTCCTCGTACGTATGCTTTTACTATAAATAACGCAAAAAATTAGTAGATTAAGGAATGAACGAATTGAAAAACTAGTTTTTAAAAATAACGCTCGTTATTCAGGCATTTTTTGAATGATCACAATACACTGGAAACAAAACTTTTTTAAAGCATCTTGGGTTTGCTGCTTTCTCCATACCTATTGGTGTTACTTTCTAACCGCCAGATGCATTTATGCAGGCTACAAATAAAAGGCGCGCTTTTTCAAGCTTTTGCCTAGGTGCAACTGTTTCATGTTTGCAAGCCAAGGTTTTAAAAGGAAGCGTTTTCCAAAACGACTTGTCGCGTCTGCATTATGGACTTGATCTTCTGTTAGGTTATGTGCTTTTATTAACGAATTAAAAGTGCTTTAAAAAGAGATTCACAAGATGAGAACTCGAAGATAACTTTTCCCTGAAATATTTAGAAGCTTTATTCCAAATTTTCGCTAGCTCAAAAAATTATTGTTTTCTTTCAAAATGTTGTTTATGTCTTTTGTTTTTGTTTTGAATATTTCACGAGAGACGAAGAGTTCTACTTTGTTGTGCACAGCACCATTCATATAATTTTGCCTCGACTTTAGGCATCTCTCCGAATTTCAAAATTTTCCTTTTAGAACCAGCCACATAATTGCCTGTGGCATTTAAAATCTTTTTTTTTTTATTTTTTTTATCGCACAAACTGAAAGTTTTGATATGCAGTATTTTTTTGAAATTGATCTAACCGATGATTCAGTTTCTAAACTTCTAATGAAGATTCTTTTTTCAAATGTTGAAACTTTTCGCGGCATTGTGATTTCTTTGTCAAAGGCAGAAATTGATTTCTGCCCTTTGCGAGAAAAGCCTATGCATTATAACATTAATTGCAAAAGTAAATAAGAAAAAAACAAAAGAAATACGACATAGTAACTCTTTCATTAGAAAGCTGGCGCCTATAAATTAAAATAACATTGTAACAAAAACGAAATATGCTCATGTTTTTGGATAAATTTTATTATTTGTAAACCTTAGAACACAAAAAAAAAGAGTACAAATTTTCAGTTCACATAATTCCATCATCACCTTGTTCACTCTCTAGAATACCACGTGTTAAATTTTTCGGCAATTTTTTTTGTTTACATAATGGAATATTTACTTAATCAAGTATTCACATAACCGAGCGTATACTGTATATATATATATATATATATATATATATATCTAAATATTGGAAGGCTGATGAACAATTTCATCCACCGAACCGTCATTATCACTTTCCGTTGCGCTTAGAATCGGATCCACTAATTCAGAGCTATAATGCTCAAAAATGACGTCATCTGTAGGAAAGTTTGATGTACAAATTTCTTTGTCAAGCTCAATATAATCATCGTTAATAGTAGCATTGGAAGTTATTTTATTTACTTAATATCACGCTTCATAATTCTGTAACTAAATATCGTCCTGCTCGTTCCATCTAGTAAATTGGCCAAATGCGCTATCGTTTGACTACTTACATCAATATCTCAAGCTTTTGTTACATGATTTATGCAATCCCTACTTCTATACGCTTAAGTAATTATATACATTTGTACAAATGCCAGCGGCTAGCATTTGCATAAAGAAGCAACATAACAATGAAAATGTTAAACATTTGATTTGGAAAAAGGGACTTCCCCTGACACAAAAAAGGATTCATACTTAAATAAAAATTCGACTTATAGAATGCATTTCCCATCATATTCCTATTAGCACGTGACAATATTTTTATTCGAGTTGTAGAAGTCCGAGTTTGGAAGTTTGACTATATATATATATATATATATATATATATATATGTTTTTTTTAAAGTTTACTATATAATTTCATATGTTTCAAAGCAATTTAAAAAATAACTTTAGTAAACTATTAAAATATGTATATAAAAATGTTCTTAAGAAGTTATACATATGTATATATACATGCGTGTGTGTGTGTATGCATGCATGCATGCATACATATATATGTATACAGTCCTAGTCAAAAGTATTTACACTTCCTAAATTTTTGTGCATATTGGACTAAAACACTTTTTGTTGTTGTTGGAGGTAAGCTGCAAAAAAATTTTTGTTGTCGCTTACTTTTATCCATGCAGAACGAAATAAAAAAATAATTGGAAAAATAACTTCATTTGACAAAAATAGAAGCAAATGCACTGATGCTTATTAGTTGTTGTTTATGGGTATATATGTAAATACTCGTGTCATATAAATATATATGAGTATATCCATTAAAATATATAATAATGTAAACTGATTTAAAAAAAATTTATGTAAACCTAAAAAAAAATTAAATAAAATATTAAATATTTTGAAAATGAGAAATTGCAGAATAAAAACAAATGATCAAAAAAATATATATTTTGAACTTCTTTTGTAAAAATTAAAAATTAAAAATATTGCTTAATGTACTCAAAACTATAAATGTAATTTAATAATCTTGTTATAGAGAAAAAAAACGAATACTGGCACAGAAGAAGATATTAGGAATATAAGAAAAATAAAACTTCGAAAAACAGATAACAAATGTTTTATAGTCTTGCAATTTCCACTAATTTCTTTAAATTCAATCTTATTGTATCAGTACACTCAGTTACTTGAAGCAATGTTATTACATTATTTTGAGGCTTGTTGAGTCAGTGCACTGGAACATTTTTACTCTCTACTAACTGCGGGGTTTCTTCATAACTCCTCTCTACACCTTGACTGGATTATTGTTCATTACTTCATCAGATTAAGCAATAACTGACCTCAATCCGCAATTTCTAGCTGGCGAACAGTAGTTTTTGAAGCCTTGCTGAACGCTACACATCCATATAAAAGTGTTATAAAGTTTTTATTTTTTATTGTCATCATAAAAAATATGAAAAATGATTGATATGATTTTAGGGAATCAAAAAAGCATATAGAATATTTAGAAAGAAAAATTCATATCTATAAGATACATAGAAAAAACTTATTTCTTCGGAACTCCCAATTAATACTACTGATATTTTTACAATTCTTTATATTATTTAATAACATAATGGGCATTGCTATTTTAATGACAATGTAATACAATATACTTCTACTGCAAAATATAGAATTTCATCTTAAAAAAATGTTCAATAAAAATCACTTCGCAAAACGCTTCATATTAATGAAATATTGTACTAATGTGGACAATCATAATTGGAGACTGTTTTGCATGCAATAAATACATTATAATTTTTAATAGTGCAGATTAGTTGTACTGAGTGTATTTTAACATTTTATTGAGGTTAAAAAATTATTTTAAATATAAAAACGTTTTAAATAATTTTCCAATTTGTTTCGATTATATTTGAACTTCAGAAATTCTAATAAATACTTTATGGGCTTCTCTTTTTGAATATTATTTTTAAGTTTTATTATTTATGAAAAAATTGTTATAAATTTATTGAACTTATGTAATTTTATTTAAATATTGTACATTTACCTATTATGCATATAGATTTGTTTAATTGAAAAATAAAACATATTTTTATGCACTACGTTTAATAAAGAATTATTCCCATATTCATAAAGATCATATATGTGCACATAACTGTATACATGTACTATATGTATATATCATTGTGAACATGTACTATATATATATAAACTTAAAAAGATCGTTAAAAATGCCTTAACATAACAAAAAAAAAAAAATTAATAAACAATTCATATTCAATATATATATATATATATATATATATATATATATTTCAATACGTAATATATTAAAAATTTCTATATAAAAATATAATCGAAAAAAAAAATATCTTCAAAAATATTCTGAAAAATTAATAAAAAAAATTGATTTTCACTTTTTTCTAAATTTGTTAAATAAAAATCAGAAGAAAATAAGAAACATATATTGTATAAAATAAATAAAAATATTATGTTGTTGTACGTATTTCAAATTAAAAACTAATCAATTTGAAACAAAAATGTATTTTGTGAAAGCATAAAATTTATGTTTATATCAGTATCAGTAAAAGAAGAAAGTAAAATTGTTGTTAATTTACATGTAAAATTTTTAAAATAATAGTAAATGAATTTTTAATATTAAAACACCACGCGAGCGATGCATATGCATAGCTGTTTGATATGATATACATATATATTCAATATTCATATATTGGTGCGGGCAGACTTGTTTGCAGTCCATTATATATCTTAAGATATTCTCATATATCTATATCTGTCTATATCTGAAATATCTATCTACATCTGAAAACAACTGATTGAATAAGTGTATTTAGTTATGCTCTTAAGTATATGTGACTTATTTGTTGATCATAATATATGTATTTGTATATGCGTCACACTCTCGCTGTGATCTAATAAATAGAACATTGCTTATTTAAATAATTAACAAAATACACATCCTTAGCTACTTTTTCCTTCCCTTCATGTAAATTCCTCCCAAACACTTTACTTTTTTGCGCTTATTTTGAACACTACAATCCATTGCTGTTGTCCCTTTTTATTGCAAAACAACAACCTTAAAGAATATAAAAAATTTATAAACATACAAAGTAAATATTAAATCACTAAAAACAAAAACAAAAAAAAAGGTTTATTATTTAAAGATTTAAAATAATATGAATTGTTTAAACAATTTCTATAATTAATTAGCGATAGATATTTTCAAATTAAAATAAAAAATGAAATAAATTATATATATTTATATATATAACATACGTATAAACACATAAGCAACTATTTAAAACCTATATAAAATATTTTAAAACAAATAAAACAGAAAATGTAAGATTCATTAAATAAAAACACAACAAAAGTAAATTTACTATTTTAAAGCAAAAACTATAAACAAAGCTATATTGTTTAAAAGATACGAAAATAATTATGCATTAAATGTTAGCAATTATGCAACACAAAAATATTTAAATAATATACAAAATTCAAATTTAATACAAATCATAAAAATTTTATATATACATATAACGAGTAAAATAAAATTTATATAAAAGAAATCAAACTGTAAGAATAAAATTATATAAAAAACAATACTTAATAATTACATAAAATGAAAATAAAACCAACAAATGTAATGCTTAATTATTATGAATAAATATTATTATTAATTATTATTGTAATTTTTTTAAAAATAATAGTAATTTAAATAAAAATATTAAATTTAAAATTAAAAAATAACTTTGGATTTGTGAAATTTTTTTCTCTGTAAAATTATGTATATATAACATACCAGGGACGAGTGCTCTAAGATGCGGAGGTGCGCGGGAGGTGTGCGGCGCACACCCTAACATAATTTGCTAAATGTCAAATAATATATACAACTTTATTAAATGTCTTTAAATCGAGAATTAATCTTATTTATTATATTTCCATATATGTATGTATATATTTTTAAAGATTTATGTTTTTGCAGAAACATTTAAATATAATTGTCTATGAAAACTCAATCAGTTTACTTATCTTAGCTGCTATAGTTGTTAGTTAAGCTCATAAGTTTGCAGCTCACGTCTTCTTTCGTTATATGTGCGGACAAGTTGGCCACATATTCATACGTTGCAAACGTGTTCACAATCTTCTGTCGTTAGTTGTGCTCAATAGAAAAATGAACAAAATATGTTAATGTGCGTGTGCTCACGCTTGCAATATGAGAATATGAGAAATAGAGATTTATAAAGTGGGAATTCTATAAGAGTAATTTTCTGTTCTATTCGAATATCAACTGCATGCATACGTTGTGCGGTCAAATCTGCAGCACACATTTCAGTACATTGCTATTAAATTTCGTCCCTCGCCTTTTAGTTTTAGCATCAGTGATTATCAGCCGCTTGGTGTACGAAAAAATTTGCCGCACATTCATACGTTGCAAGTGTGTTCGATTGTGTTTGATCACTGCATAAACATGTATGGTTCGAAATACAAACTCTTTTGTTTGAAAAAATTTGGTTCGATGTTATAAGAAGTATGTAAAAAGTTGTGTTTATTCCATACTGATGTAATATTAAACTTATATATTAATTATTAATTTAATTTGTTTTATATGCTATTTTGTTAATGAATTATTAAATATTATATTGTGAATATATGGTTGCCTAATGTAATATAGTTATTTTTAATAAAACATATCATGTATTTCAATTTATAGTTTTTAATTTAAGCGGTGCATGTAAGAACAACATTGTAGAAGGGCCGCACACCCTTCCAGATAGGGCACGCATCGTCACTGGTATATATAATATAATTATAGAACTCTTGGCCTTGGCTTAGTTGTCAAGATTGTTTAAATAAATTACATGTTATTTGTTAAAAAAATTATTTTTATATCGAAGTAAATTTGTTTGGACTCAGTTTCAATTTAGCTCCTGAAAAATTAGTAAGGTTTTTTCTTCGAGCTAGTAAAACATTAGGGTTTATTTTCGACAATGGAATTAAAGGACATGATGACTCCACCCATCATATTAGGCATTTTATCGGCAGTTTTCTGCACTGTTTTTATTATGGCTGCATTCGGTTTGTTGGTCCGCGTCATTTCCATCATGAATCTGGTAAGTAGTTTTGGGTACATCTAAATGGGTAAGGAAATTGTTGTGAATATTTACTTTTCCGGTTAAAGTTCATTGTGATGTCCTTGTTCGCGATTGGTGTGCAATTTTTCGTTTGCTTGCTTTTTCTGTTCCACCCCACATGCTATTACCGTGCGCTCTATAAGTTCCTTCTCTATGCGTTAGATCACTATTGCGAAAATGGCTGGAAGATTACGATGGATTTTGTACAAAAAACGGTAATATTATGTGCCTGATTTTTGTATATTATATTAAAATCGCATTTTCACATTTTTTAAATTTAATCTTTTATTTTTTTATTAGAAAAAAAGAATTTATTATTTTTTTATTTTATTCTTTCATTTTGTTATTTATTTGATAAGTATTTTTAAAAATTTTTTTCAAGACTTTTACTGATTTTTATGAAATGAAAAAAAATTGCTTTATTTGTAATATTATCTATTTAAATAAATAAATAATTATATTATTTTTTTTAATTGAAAAGTTCAAATGCTGTGGTGTCGTAAATCCTATGGATTATAAAAAGGGCGCTGAGTACGAGTATGACGAGCGTGTGGAACTGCCAATATCTTGCTGTGGAAATATAACAGATACCGATCCAATAACATGCAATCTCGAATACAATATTGGGTGTAATGACGTAATTGTTGACTTAATTGGGAATAATTTGACCTGTGTAATTGTAGCTGCGTTTGCAATTATAGTAATTCAGGAAAGTTTGTATTTTCAAATTTTATGCGTAGAATCAAAATATGTAAATTACTCATTTAAATTACAGATTTTCTTCGTGATATTCCTTTGCCAACTTTCCCACTTACGTCGTCCACGTACCCGTCCTAGACGATGTATGTACCATCGTGCCAACAAATAATTCAGATGGCGAAATATTCCTTTACATTTGTATATTATTTGATAAATTAATTAAATTATGAACGCATATTTTTGGTGAATAAATTTAACTTGTTTGTTGCTTACTTAAAATTTAAAACTTGTTTCACTTAATTATGAGACAATGATCTTTATAATTAATTGCAATTAATTATATAAATTTTTACGCTCAGTCTAAACGATCACTTGATAAAAAATTGAATGTTTAAATTTAAACAAATTCCTACTATTACCCTTTTTTCAATTCAAATAGATTTCTTGTCATAGGATATTAAAATCAGTGGAATTATTGTTGAATTAAATATTAGGCGTTAAGGGTACCTAAACGCTCCATATATATAAATATGTTAAAGTATACTATAACCAAAGAATCTAGAGTACAAAGAAGCGCCATGCTCATACAAACGAATTACCCACTTTATTTTGCAGGTGGATTTATAATAAATTCAGTGGGAGAAGAAAGCAAAAATTGTAAATATCGATGGCTAGTTCACACGCTTAAAATACCAATCAATGATATCTCTCATGCTGTGCTGGAATACAATTCACAGGACCAACGTAGGAGAGGTCGTCTTAAATTAACGTGGAAGAGAACGGTTGTAAGCGAAAGGAACAAAACGAAGAGATGGACGTTTATGTTTCATGCCAGTTGCGGCCCAGAAAACAAACCTGCCAGAAAGTATAAAATAGAAAGCACAAACTAAACAAATATCTTGGGGACTTCGGATAATCTCACCGCGTCAAGATCGCATCAGAACTCCCGCGCATTTGGCTTGGTACCTGGGTCAAATATGAGAAGTGAGTCACAGAACACAAGCAATAGCAACTTTCGATCTGTAACTGAACAGCATGCACACACCGATGTCGCTTTTCTACAGATGGCAGGCCACAACAGCACAGAAAATTGACAAACGAAATAAACTAAAATAATAATCTTATTCCAAAGATTAGGCGTAACTTTATAACAGCAAACCACCCCTATACTCAAGAATCCGATGCAACTTCAAGTGATGACATCAATTTGGAAGCAAATCACGAAATCCAAGGAACCAAATATGTGATACAATAAACAGAAATAGAGAATAACCAATTCACAGATATAGAAAGCGCCTTTCAATAACAATTTGAGACATATATAGCTATAAACCCTGTCATGTCACAATACCAAAGTTAAATTCTAGCCAAAAACTCAGTTTAGTGATAAAATACGTAGCCCCACAAATTAATAATTTAGAAGATTTACACACGCTCATCTATTTAGCAGTTGTGACAATTGCAATAAAAATGGGATATAAGATTATGTTAACTATATGTGGAAAAAAAAAAAATAAGCAAAGAACTACAAAAAATAAAACGATTGAATGAATTGAAATTAATATTAAATACTTACGAAGCGAACTAAAAAGAATTGATACTTATAAAACAGACAATAAGACTAGAAGGCTTAAAAATAAAATACAAAAAATATACCACAAACATAATGGACACTCAAGATATGAAGCTAATAACTTAAACGTAATATCAAGAAGAGATACTATTAAACAAAAACTAAAGTGCAATTAGCAAGGCGAAAAAAATTTAAATTATCCAATAAAAGACGCGAGAAAGGTGTTACCTTTCTCGAGGGCTCAGAAAGGTAACACCGGAAAAGATACTTACTCAAATAAAGAAGATACCGAAAGCTATTGGTTGTCGATATGGTCCAATCAAGTAAGTCATAACATTGAAGCAAACTGTATCAATGAAGAGAGAAGAAGATACCAACAACTTGAGGAAATGTCAGCAAACTATCTAACATGTGAAAAAGTTAAAGGAGTTATTTTGAAAACATACAACTGGAAATTATCAGGGACGGATAAATTACAAAACTTCTGGTTCAAAGACTTCCTGCGATGCGCTAAAAACTTACAGAACTTCTAAACGATTGCATTCAAGACCCAAGGAGATTTCTGAAAGACTTCTCTTATGGAAATACACACCTTATCCTGAAGGATAAGGGATTTAAAGAAGAACCTTCAAATGGGCGACCAATCACCTGTCTGCCTACTATTTACAAAATTATGACAGTTTGTCTCAACAACCTAATAAACAATCATTTACCGCAAAATAATTTTATCCGTGAAGAACAAAAAGAATGCAGTAAATATGCTAAAGGGTGTAAGGAATAACTGACCATTGATCAAACCATACTAGAACAGATATACAGCCTGTCAAGAAATTTGAATGCTTGCTATATTACATTGCATTCAATCCACTTAGTAGTCTCCTGAAAAACTATAAATATGGTTGCAAAATAAAAGCTGGTTCTGACTAAGAAATACTGTGTTACCTTTTATATACGGATGACCTGCAAGTATACGCCTCGACGAGACAAAGCTTAGACCACCTATTGCAAATCATATCAATGTTTAGCAAGGCCATCGCTATAAAATTTGGTCTAAAAAAATGCAAAGAATACATATTTATAGGGGAAAAATATCAAGAGTGAAGACAAAAGGATTGAAAACGTTGAACAAATGGAAGAAAGAGATGTTGTATAACTACGTAGGTATGGGCCAAATTAGGCGCACAGTGTATCACATATACAGGAAATAGCTAAGCGAATCTAAATGGTAAAAGCTTTATCAAACTGCTTGACACTGAATCATTCACGGACCTCAATATTGCATCTCATTTCGCCCTTAGAGTCACAAATGCCTCATTTCACACAGCATTGCTTTATCAAACAGCAAAAATATATATAAAAAAGGCGTCTGGTGATCTATTACTGCAAGTAGATTTTGCTGAAAATTTCTGTCTTGTAACCCTAAATGAAGTCTAGTCAACTCATTTTTTTTAGATACAAGTTACGCAAGTTAGTTCACTTGCGTAGCATAGCTTTGTGAAAAAATTAAGTCCTTTGCAGTTGTAAGCGATAAGCTTACCCATAATGAATTCGATGTATACTGCTTTTTAAATGAAATTATACACAATATTAAAAAAGAAGAACATTGTAAGCAGCATTCCAAGTTTAGTTGAAAGGGTTTTTTTTACCACCTCCCATGCGAAGAGTGCGGTTGACGGAAAAGGGTCTGTAGTGAAGCGAAAAGTTTGGGAGATGGTTCGAACAAAAAATCTGGTATTCCAGGATTGCAAGCCTCGTACAGTTTTTCTTATATAAATAAAACGTCAATTAATATACATAGTTCGTACAGCCACATTGATCAAATTTAAATTAGTTTTGAGTTCAGAAAAACATTCATTATAATAAATAGTTTTGAAATATATTTAATATAAGACTATGTTTCTTACATTATTTTCAAGTTTATTTATATGGTTATATTGATAATATAAGATGGTACATTTTCTAACGTACAATCTTATGGAAACTTGGAGTTAGTAAATTTTTTTAAATTTTTTTTAATTTTGAAAGAAACTAGAATTATATTTTAAAATATTTAATTATTAATTGTTTATTTAATATCAAATACAGCACACAAGTTATAGTGAAGTATAATCTTCAGAAATTAGGGTTTAGAATTATAAGTTTTTTTTTATTTTGATTAAAAAAAAATTACAATTTATTCCAAGCCTTATAGTGATGATTAGTTGGAGTATCATTCGTTTGTAAAGAAAAATTTAGAATTTTGAATAAATTTTGAATAATTTCAGCCACCGAACCCTCATCATCACTTTCAGTTGCGCTTAGAATCGGATCCACTAATTCAAAGCTATCTGCTCAAAAAGTATCCGGATTTTGTTTTTTGTTAACTACTCCTTCAGTAATAGATCTTTATTTTTTTTGTTATGTTGGTGCAGCCCTTCTTGACATAGGATACAAATTTGAGCGCCATCTGTCAATTAGTTTGTTTACAACAGCTGTTAATGTGAGACTACCTCAAGTGCATTTAGCGATTTTTACTATGGAAAATTCTTGTTGTACGCGATTTTTTGACCAAACACGGCACCACTGTCATCACTCAGGCACGATATTCGCCAGATCTGGATCCGTGCGACTTTTTCCTGTTCCCGAAACTCAAATTGCCCCTTCGTGAATCTGTAAAAGAGAATTCGCCGAAGGAACTAAAAGCCATACCTGCATGGGCCTACGAAAAGTGTATGGAAGATTGGGTTAAGCGTTGGCATATGTATATCGCTTCAGAAGGAGCATATTTTGAAGGAGATAAAATAAATTTGGAATAAAATTTAAATTTGTGTTTTACTTACCAAATCCGGGTACTTTTTGAGCAGAAAGTGTAATGCTCTATAATGTCATATAACAATTACCATCTACTCCAGAGATAGAGTTGAGAGTTTATATAATATGGACCGACAGAGTTCAACTAAGGTTTGTCCAAAATTAAGTTACAGACATAACATAGGTATGTGTATCTCCGACGAATTTTGAGAAAATGAGCATTAGTGCTAAGTTAATAATAATTATTGTAAATAGTTGATAAGTTATATAAGTTATCGTGTAAAATAAGTAATAATATAAATATAAAATAATAAATAAATTACTTAATAATAATTAAACAATAAAATATTTTAAAAAATGCTATAAATAAAATTGAGATGTCTGTAAAATCCAAATAACTCTATTAACGATTAAATTTCATCAAAAATCAAATTTATAATGTTAATAATTCGGAAGAGGTTGGGGCATTGCATGCACACAAAATTAATTATATACACATAGCGAATAAAGTCTGCGTACACCTTACGAATTTTGATATGTGATAAAGAAACACAACATAATTAAATATTTTAAATTAAAATTTTTACATATATTTATTCTTTGATATCTAAAGCTTAAATAGCAAAAGACAAAAATTGTATTCGTTTGTTCATTTTTGAGATAACGGTATAAAAGTGTCCCTACATGTAAATATAGGCCCCATAAAGTCTGTGCATAGTTAAAAAAAAGCTGATAAAATCGGTAGAAATATTACAAATAAGGCTAAATGTAATACTTTGTTGAGTAGCCACGCTGTTTTAGAACTTCACTTAATCTGTAATTTTCGCCCATTCTGTTTGCATTGTAATCCGCAAAGCCTCTTTACTTGTTATCACATGCTGACGAATTCTTTTTTCCAATAAATCCCAAAGATGTTCAATGGG